CTATTAAATAATTGAATTGAGTTGATCTTAGTGATCTTTGAGAAATTCTGAGAATTATTTAAGTAGTTTAAGTTAGTGTAGTTAAAGAATATTAGTTATTCTTTAGACCCTTGTTCACATATTTGTGCAACAGTATATATTAATAATATTTTTTTTTAAAAAAAAAGATTTTTATATAACTTTTGAAAATATATATTTCAAAAATTTTTTTTAATAATTTAATTTTAATTTTAATTTTGATTTTTATTTTTAATTTCGACTTCTATTTTAATTTTGACTTTTATTTTTAATTTCAACTCCCATTTTTAATTTCGATTTTTATTTTAATTTCAACTTTTATTTTAATTTCGACTTCTATTTTAATTTTAAAATATCAAAATTTTGAAATGGTATTTTGAGTTCAATTTCGGAATATTTATATTTTGAATTTTGGATCCCAAAATAATTTTACATGCAAGTATATCGTTGATAGTGTAATATCGATTAAAAGTCGTAGTAATATAAATGCAAGTAATGACCATCAAAACAATATATTATGAATATCAAATATAAACAAAGGTTATTGATACAAAATTATTACGAAAATGATAATATTTACAAAATTTTACACATGAAGATATCAAAATTGATAACCTTCAAAGGTTATCAATACGAATTTATTATGAAAACGATAATATTCGTAAAATTTCTCACATGAAAATATCAAAATCAATAATTTTTAAAAGTTATCGATATAAATTTATTATAAAAATGATAATATTTGCAAAATTTTGCCATGTGAAAATATCAAAATTGATAACTTTCGAAGAATAATATATTGAAAAATAGTGAAATACTTATGTTAACATTAACTTTTAAAGGTTTTCACTAGAAAAAATTTTCTGATATGTATATGTATTATGAATTAGTTGAAGTGGATATATCAGAGGAAATCAAAGCCAAGAGAGTAGCTAAAAATTGAAGGTTAGCTATAAATGAACTTATGAAAAAAACATATGATATATATTGGAGAATTGAAGAGAAGGATAACAAAAAACAAACAGGTGTATTTGAAGAATTAAAATTCTATTTAGAACCTACTCTAAATAACATAAGGGTAAAGGAAAATTTATAATAAATAAAAAATCATAATTATTAGTAATATATTAAAAATAAATGTATAATAAATATGATAAATAAAAAATTTATAATTATTAAAGTGATATATTAAAAAAAAAAATAAATCAAAATATTTCATAAATATAATACTTTTTTGATTATATTTTATCAAATTTTCAAGTCCCATTTGTCATGTGACATGATCCATATTCTTAGACCGGTTTTTTGTTACTGATCTTTAGTCACTTGGCGAGGGTATAACTTTAGACAATCCCTTTAACAGTCACTGAACAAATATGATTACACAAATTTATTAGTACAAAAAATTTTGTGTAATGATATTATCAAAAAAATGTTTCTTTGCTAATTTTTAATATTATATATTAATCATAGTTCAATTTAAAATAATTCTTTTTTTAATATCCAAATTAATAATTCAGGTGGTAGGTTATAGGTATGTTTCGTGTCTATTCTAGGATAGACAATTCAAATTAGTCTGAGTCTCATCTTTTGATAGTTACTAGAATAAGTTGTGTATCCTATATTATGTAATAATAATGTAGGAGACTTTCTCTTTTTTAGTTAATAAATTTAAGACAAGGCCTCGTTGAAACTATAAAAAAAAAAAAAATATTCAAATTAATAATTTTCATAAATTTAAAATACTGTACTTTATATTTATCAATTTATTATACTTTGAATACTATAGTCTCATAACTACATATTATAAAGATCCTTTTTTAATATTTAATATAAAACCCTCAAACTTTTCATAAAGATAATATTCAAAGAATTCTATTGAAAATATTATAAACATTGTTATTATTAAAAATACTAAAAATGAAATTATTTTTTTATGACTTAATTTTACTAATAATATTTAAAAAATACTTTAATAAACTGAAACTCATTATTTTCAATTACTGTTTTATAAAATTTCAACTTTAAAATTATATTAGAAAAGCAAGTAAATCAAGTTAATCACAATTACACAAGTTAGTGTTTAAAATCAAAATTTGTAAATTTGAACAATTAATTTCAAATTTGTCTAGTAACTGCTAACTAAACAATAAACTACACTAAGAAAATACTAAATATCCTAGAATAAGTTCACAAAAATAAATACTCAGAACACAGCAGAATTTAACAAAATATTTACTATGATTACAAAGCAGAGTAATAATTACTAAGAATATGTCCAGAACAAAAAGCAAAACAATTACAAAGAATGAATTTTTGTTCTGATAAACTTGCTAAACAAGGTATTTTAACTGTTACTTCAATTTCAAGAGCATGTTAAAGTTCAGTATCCATAACATTCACTGGTCAAATGAAGAAAATAGGCAAAATTTTTAACATAAATAGGCAAGATTTGTAAATAATATGTAAATAGGCAGTAAGATTTGTGAATAATATACAAATAGACAAGAAGATTTGTAAATAATATGCAATAGACAGGAAAATTTGTAAATGATATGCAAATAAACTAATTTGCATTATGAACAGAAAGTGGCCCATATTTATTTAGCTAGTAGGTATTTTTAATTGCATATGTTATATATTAAAAATCAATTAATTAATGTACCTTATATTCATAGATGATTTGATCAAGATTAAGTATATAGTTCATCCCTTACTATCAACTTGCATTCTTTAATTATTTATATCCATTGAAATACCTGTAACTTTATGATGAAAATGGTTGATTTGATGGATTAGCAGGTTTGCACAAGTGTGTAGATTATTCTGAATTAATATAATAATAATAATAATAATAACATAAATTCTCTTAATACTTTTAATACATAATGGACAAATACAGTATCTTATCAATACCATATATTTTACATTATCAATTATTCTATTTTAATTTCAATTGTTCCAATTGTTCATCTCTTTGCAAAACTTCTTTATCAAATTGAATTAATATAGTAGTACGCAATGGGAAACCTTCTTGTGGTACTGAATGTGCAGTTACACGGGCTGGCTAAAAATTCATAAAAAATGGTAAAAATGTTAAATTTATATTTATAATATTAATAGAAAATATATATTAATTACAATATTAATAATTTACTCACAAATTGAGCTCCATCCAAAATCGCTTCTACAATTCCTGCAAGAAATGCATTACAATTTAATTGTGATAATTCTTTGGGAACTGAAATATATCTACTTATTACTGGATCGTTATCTGATATCATATCTACAAATATACAATTCACAGTAAATTTATAATAATGGTAGAAAATCAATTATAATAATAAATGTTATTATTATTACATTCATCCTCATGTTCTTTACTTTTTTCTAAAGAATCTGCTTGTTTTCCAAAAAGAGTTTTCCATACTGTTATATGAATAAAATATAACATCCCCAAAACTCGAGTTTCTCTTTTACTATTTTTATCTCGCCATACAATTAATTCCAATAAACGTGTTCCTACTCTATACCCAAAATCATTTAATCTGAATGGAAAAAAAAATTCAATCAATAGGAATTATTATTAAGAAAATAAATTGATGATATGAATAATTACTTACTTTCGTTCAAGATCTTGAATCCCATGCACACGCTTTTGTGCATATTGAAGCATTTCAGAAAATAAAAATGCAAAAGCACTTAATCCTACCTAAACATAAGTATTTATGTTTAATTATTATTATAAGTTATTATTAAGTTATTATAAGCGATAATAATAATTTTATTCAACCTCAGTTCCTTTAGTTTTATTTAAAATTCTATCTAAGATTGAGACACGTTTAGCTAAACGCGTATCATTCGAAGATGATAATACTGATATTCTAGAAGTTTGTGACATTTAAATAATAATTTTCCTTATTTTTTAATTAATAATATATATTTTCGATATTTTCAGTCCATTCCAGTCCAGTATTAGCATTAGTATCCGATTGGCTGATCCGTTTTAATAATCCCGAATTTTGTCCAATCGGAAGATATTCGAGTTTAACTAATTACAGGTTTATAAATCTTCATGTTGTACAATTATATCAGAAAATGTATATAAAAAGAGTTGTATCAAAAAGTTTGTTCGTAAAAATAAAGATGGAAGGAAGTAAGATACGGGAAGCCGTTCAATTTTTGACTGCCGGTGATAAAGCGTTAGTCCAATTTAATTATAATAAAATAAATATTAGAATTGATTTTTTTTTAAAAATATCTAAAATATCCATTTATAATGTTAATATACAGAACCCAAAAAGGGTGGTTTAAAAAGCCGGAATGGGATGTTGCTGGGCAGAATTACGAAAAAGCTGGTAATTAAAACATTTATGAATCATTTTTCTATCATTATTTACAATGGTTAACTTTTATAAATTTTTATAAATTTTATTTATACATTTTATAGCTTCGTGCTTCAAAGCGGCTCGTTCATATGACCAGGCAATTCAAGCATATCAAAAGGCTTCAGATGCCTTATTTAAATCCGATTCGTATGTACCATTTTTATTTTTATTGAATTTGGGAGATAAAATATGTATGTATGCATATATAGATATATGTATTAAAGGTTACTTTCGTTATTTCTTTTTTTATTTCTTAGTATATATATGGCAGCAAAGACCATAGAATCTGCTGCTAATTTAGCTGCTCAGCAATTAAAACAACCAGAGCGCGCTGCTGAAATGTATAAGAAAGCCAGTGATCTTTATCAAGCACATATGGCTCCAGATCGAGCTGGAGAAATGCTAGAAAAAGGAGCCAGGTAACCTCTCCAGATTATTTGTTATTATTTATGAATCTCGATTCAATCCTATTTATTCCTTGATTCCTTGATTCCTTAATTCCTTGATTCTTTGATTCTTTAATTTAATTGTTAATTACTTAATTGAAATAGAGCTTTGGAACCAGCAGATGTAGATGGTGCAATCGAATTGTATGTAGCTGCATGTGCATTATTTGAATCCGAGGATCGTGGAAAATTTGCAGTAGACACCTTTAAAAGAACAATAGCATTGATGATTAAGCATAAAAGGTATGACCAACTTTATTTGAATACATATTATTATTATTTTATTTTATTTTATTTATTTTATTACATAAAAATTAATTTAATCAATTTGTAGATATGACTCTGCCATAGATATATTACATAGACTTTTTACAATATATCAAAATGCCTCAAATCAACAAGGTTTAAACAAAACTTGTTTAAGTCTCATCATTACTTTGTTAGCAGCAGAAGATGAAGTTGAAGCAAAGAAACAATTTCAATTATTTTGCTTGTAATTATCTTTTTTTTTTCTCTTTTTTGATTGTTTCATTATATTTTAAAGATATCTGCCTGCCGCAATTTTTCATAAGAGTTGCCGTTTCCTTTTTTTGAATTATGGCAGGTATCATTATTATATTTCATTATTTTCGCTGAAATGTAATAATAATAATTGTCTTTTATCTATTTAATTATCATAATTATCAGGCAAGCTTTTGTTCAATCCGAAGAATCGGCTATAGCAAGTTCCCTTCTTGATGCCTTTGAACAAGGTGATCAAGAACTTTTAGAACAAACAGTTCGTAGACAAGCTGTCACTTTCTTGGATAATGGTATTGCTAAATTAGCTCGAGGATTACAAGTTCCCGGTGGAATATCTGCCAAAAAACAACATCCATCATTACCACCACCACAATCACAACAACATATACCACCACCACCATCATCAACATCATCTGAAACGTTTGTTTATAATCAAGAAAAAAAAGACTTTGTAGTTGATAATTATTTAAACATGCCTAATCAAGAAAATCAGGAAAATCAGATAAATCAAGAACATAAAACAAATCAAACAAACTTACAACAAGAATCGTATACAAACCATAATAATTTACCTCCTTTTGAACAATCAATTTCTACTCCCAATAATGCTGATAACATTCCAAATGATGATGGTGATGATGATGGACTTTGTTAAAAAAAATATTTATATATTTATTTATTTAAAATTTTTCAATTATTTTTTTTTTTTACCAAAATTATTAACTTGAAATTTTAGATTATTTATGTAAACATTGCATAATTGCAATATTTTATAGACTTTATTTATAAATAAATTGTATATATAAAATTTATAAAATTATATAAAATTGGGAAAGTATTTTCTTTTTCTCATTTTTTTATTTTGCCTCCTCACTGTGCAATTATTATTGCAAATATCAATTTGTAATTCTTATTGAATATTCTACATTATATTTATTATATATATTATATATACATTATTTGTTTACAAATAAAAGCACATACATTTACAAAGGATTATTTATAAATAGATTTCACATTATTTTCTTTGGTTTCTTTGTTAAGAGATATTATGGGAAAGAATCTATTAAGAAAGTAAGTGAATTAAATATCAAGCCTAATCTGGGTCTTCAAATCTAAAAAATACTGTTGGTAGCTAGACTTGATTTGTGTAGTATTTCCATACAGTCTCTTATTTTTACTTAAGAAATAATTGTAACTTTTCTGATTGTTTTCATGGAAAATATTCAAATAATTAAAAAAAATAAATAATTAGTATTTAGTCTTCTATTTCCAACTTCTTTGACTCTTGATGCTTGAATAGACTTCAGTGAAATTGCAAACCTTTGGTTACGTTTATAGGTTTTAAAACAAGAAATGTTAGATAAAAAATACTTGTATACAATATTAATATATATAACGATTAGGATAATAATAATACTATTAATAAATAATTAATAAATAATTAATAAATAATTAATAAATAATTAATAAATAATTAATAAATAATTAATAAATAATTAATAATATAATACAATGCAAGGTCTAATATCTAAATATATACTTTAATCTAATAATATATAATAATATACAATTAATTTAATCCAATTTCTTGAAGTATAGCTTCCATTACTTTAGGATTACTATATCCCAGATGTCCATCAGTAAATTTAGTAAGATCATAATTTTCCACTCTATCACAATTAACAGCTCCAAGTCCTGCGACATTAAGACCTAATGAATGCATTCGGTATATTAATCCAAGTACGATATCATTGGTAGCGTATCCATTCACAAACCTTCGAGAAACTACGCTAGTCACCTTTTCCCATTTAGGAGATGTAGAATCAACTGGTGCTCCAATAATTATTACTAAATAAATAAATAAACAAATAAATATTTATTATATGACAACTAGAACTCAAAATTTCAACTTACCACTATCAATCAATCCATATTTTTCTCTTTTTGATAATTCCTTTAAGCATGACCAAATTACCAAAGCACCAAGCGAAAATCCTATCTAATAATTTAATAATTTATCAAGTCATATCTTAGTTACATTTTGAACATAATATTATTGATAAATTTTATTGATAAATTTGATATTTACTAAAACAGCAGGTCTCTTTCCTTGAACACCCTCAATCAATACATCGGCTAAGACCAAACCTGCTTTATGTGCACGATCAACACCTAATGCCCAGGGATTATCAATCAAATCTCCTGCTTTCATTAATGCCGCTGGAACCAGAAGTGCGCTCGCCAAAGTTGCAAATACTGTTTGTTTTATTGCTTGAGAAGCGGCTACTTTAACTGCTTGTTCTGCTAAAAATCTATGAAAAGCTCGTCCAAGTGATCGAATGATTTCGGTATCAAATGACAATGCAAATGTGTCACTATAACCTGATGAATTTTTAAATGTTGGAAGCCAAGGTTTGACCACGCCATCGTCACTTCCCGAGAGGTATCCAGTTATAACTATATTAACCTTCGAAATATAAATAATAATAATAATAATAATAATTATTATTATTATTTCATTTTTTTTTTGTCTCAACTAAATTGGTTCTTCTTACATGTAAAGATGGAATAAGAGGGAGTGAATCATCTTGAATAATCCGAGTAAAACAAAATTCTTTTAAACCTTGAGTTCTCTTGTGCATCTTGTAACCTTTTATTAAATTAATAAATTAATAAATATAAAATGTAAAATATAAAAATATAAAAATGTAAAATGTAAAATATAAATAAAATATAAAATGTAATTAATAACAATTACCTGCTAATCCACCTCCAGCTATACCAAATAACGAAGTCATTAATACTACACTAGAAGCAGCTGTTGTAACTATCCCTACTCCAGTTATTGCTCCTATACCAGCTGCAACAAGTGGTGCGGCTTCACTTGACAATATTAAAAAGTTTATTTTTTTAAAAATTAAAATAATAATTAATAAATAATAATAATTTTATATATATTTACCCAAACCACCAGTTAAACCAATAGCAGTTGCACCAACCACCACACCAACACCAGTTGCCATCCAATGCCATTTTTTCTTTTCTTTTTCATGAACAGTTAAACTAGCATTAGCACTATTATGTAATTCTTTTATATTGGAATCAATTTCATTAATATCATTATTGTTATTTGTAGATTCATGTTGTCCTTGTCCTTGATGTTGAAAAAAATATATATGTTGTGCTATAACTTTTTCTAATCCTGTGATTACATTTACAGGAACATCTATAGATTTGGCAATTTCAAATAAAATTGCTCTCGCTCTTGAATCATATTCTCCTAATTTCATTACTTGTGATGTTGAAATATTGGTAGACGTTAATAAGGTATCCGTAATTTCTTTACTTTTTACATCTGATACCACTTTATTTAATCTTTCTTTTAAATTGAGTCGTTTATTATTACTATCAATACTATTTCCTATATTATTTTGTACTAAACCAAGACAAACTAATAATAAATCATAAATAATTTCTTGTCGAATATCTTTCTTTTGTTCATTATCATCTTCAGATTTTACGAAATTAGATTTTATTAAATTAATGAAAGACAAAGTATCATTGTTTTCCCCAGGCATCGAAAGAAGAACGTCTTGCTCTATTTATCAAGAAATTTTTTATTATAATTTATTAATTAAATTAGTTATTATTAATTAATTATTAAATTTAAATTAAAAAATTAACGAAGCAGCAGCAGTTGTTGTTGTTGTTGTTCCGTAGATAGTAAAATGAACCTTTTAAGTCATCAACTGCAAAATGCATAAAAATACTAGCAATAAATTTCTTTTTCCATTCTAATTCCGCAGCATCATTTGTCCATATACGATTCGTGACTGTACGAACACATAAAGCCGTGACATCAAATCTTTGTGTCGAAGTCTGTTAAAAAAAAATAATAATATATAAATTTTACTGTTAATATGAACTTTGAGAAGTTAAAGATATATAAACGTATATAATAGCACACCCAATTTTGATTAAGTGGTGAAAGTTCCGTTGATAAATTTGTTTCCATCGTCTTAAGATTAAATTTTTTAAAGTGTAACATATAAATGGGATGAATTTAAACATGTTCCAAATTAGGGATTCTAATGTTCATATATATATATCTCTCCAAATATATTCTGGAGTTATTCAATCAATGATACGTATTAAATTGTCGATTACATTACATTGCATCATAGAAAATTCGAAATGTACTACACAACATCTATTTTCATGTGGTGAAGACTCTTCACTCACAAGAAATCATTTTACATATCCCTTAGGACTACTTAAGACCTATGAATCAAATGATTTCAATTTGTTTCAAAAAAAAAAAACTGTACTTAGAATTTCAAATTTCTTATTTTATTTATCCAAGTGAAGTATGACTGGGATTTCTACTGTTCATATCATGTGAATTACATCTGTGATAAAATCACAGATGCATCCGAGGCAAAGACTTCGTTTTGATAAATCCATGGTTATTTTTTTTGATATATCAAATTTTCACGTGACAAAATAATTATCTTTTTGATGCATCTATAAAAAAATAACTACTTTTTTTCACGCGTATCTTGATATATCAAAAAAAATAACCATAAGTGAAACTTTTGCGTACCTGAGTTAAATCTCACGTCATATGTGATCTAATCCTGTGACTTTAATTTAATAAATTTAATAAATTTAGTAAAGGATCTGCAATAATTTTAGCCTATTCAAATTATTTGATTATGATCATTATTGGATATTTAATATTATCATTATCATAAGTAGTCATTTATTAATGTGTGAAACAATGAAAATATTTAGTTTACAGTTATTTTAATCTTAATTAATATAGCTTTCCAAAAAAATAACCTAAATGTTAATATTATATGAGACAATCTGGTATGATATGACGTAATTTGAACTCGTAATTTATGCACAATAAACAAATTTGATTACCCGCATAGATCATCAAATATCTGTGTCGTTCGAGAAAGAAAAAAGGAATTAAAGATTACAATAAAACTAATCCTTTTTGGTTATATCATAATTATTTTTCATTATCATAAAATAAAACATTATCCCTAAAATTGGAAATATCACAAGTTCATTAGTTCTTATCTGTTATAATAAATTATTATGATAATTGATAAAATAATTAATAATATAAAAATTTAATTAAATATTAACAAAATTATAATATATTAAAAATATAAATTATAACAAATGACGAGCCTAGCTCTTGCATTCTTATTATAAACCTTTCCTGAGAATTCTTCACTTTTCCTTTAATAAAATAATTATTAATGAGCAATGACGATAAAGGTAGAATTAGATTAATTAGATTTTCAAGATAGGAGTCAATAAAAGTGCAAGAAACAATATTATGTAAAAATATCAAACTAGGGGGAAGAGGGGAGGGGGTACAAATAAAATCATTTCGGGACCAAAAGCCCAAAGTGAAATAACTACCCTATTTTGAAGGATTTTTTTAAAAAAAAATTAAAATGGGTGGTTCTAAATAGTCGTAATAATAATAATAATAATAATGATAATAACAAAAAAAAAAGTACAATAAAGAAAGAAGAAAGAGTATTATCTATCAAAACATCTACATACATTACCTATTCCATTCTTTCTTAATGAATAGTGAGAGAATGACTTATGAAATGCCAGTATTTTTTTTGAGAAAAATGTTAATGTTTTCGAATTGATATATAAATATATGGATGGAAGAGGGAATAATTTTTTAAAAACTTTTTTTTATCCTTTCGATTTTTTGTATCTAATATAATATATAAATAAATATTTTTTATTTTTACAAGACGACGCAACAACAACCGCCATCATCACTTCTATCGCTTGTAAACTCATTTCCACCTCCTGACCCATTTGATTGATTTCGCCCACCAAATTGCTGTTCCTTGTTATATCGTCGAATTTCACGAACAAGATTGTAGAATGCTTCGTCCACATTAATGCGTTGCTTAGCGGATGTTTCAATGAATCTGCAACTGAAATGTTTAGCAAGTTCTCGTCCCTCTGAAATAATAAATAATAAATAAAATAAAATAAAAAATAATAAAATAAAAATAATTATATAATCAAAAAAGATAAAGGTTTCAATATAAATATCATAAATATCTAAAATATATATATATATATATATATAAAAATAAATATTTGTACAAACCATGTCCAGAAACTTGTCTTTCCATTTCTAAATCACATTTATTGGCTACCATGATTATGGGGAAATAATCCTTATCTTTGACTCTGAGAATTTGTTGATGGAAGGTGGAAATTTCATCAAAGGAATTGCGAGATGTAATGGAATAAACTAAAAGGAATCCTTCCCCTGTACGCATATATTGTTCGCGCATTGCACTAAGATTAAAATTAAAAATTTATTATTATTATTATTATTATTATTATTATTATTATTACTTTTTATTCAATATAATCATCAATAATTAATTATAATAGTTAACCTATATTCTTCTTGACCAGCGGTATCCAACACATCTAATAAAGCCACTTCATCATCAATCACACATTGTTTACGATACGAATCTAAATTTATAATAAAAATTATTATTTTCTTTTTTATTAACATTTGATGTTAAACATATATCTAAATCACATGGCACCGCAGAAATGTTTAACATTACCCGGCCAAATGAAAAATATTTATAGATAATAATGCTATGAATTCCGAAACTCTTCTATTTCTATCTCAATGCTTTATACGCTACCTTCAATAGTGGGATCATATTCATCAACAAAGTGTGCTTGGATAAATTGAATTGTAAGTGCAGATTTACCTACACCTAAAAAAAAAAAAATTCCAACATAAAAAAAGAATAAAGTAATATATTTCAATATAACGTTTGAGAAAAAAAAGAAGTTTTAAATTTTTTTAGAGAAATTTAAGAACAAATTTTTCTTTAAGTTAATAAATTATATAAATTATTCCAAATTGTAAGATAGTTATGACATTCTTCATCTAAACTATTCATGAAACATTATTCAATATAATTTTTCAAACTTGAAAATTTCGCGAGATGTAAAAAGAAATAAGATCTTAATAAAATAAACGTACCACCACCACCAACAACTACAAGTTTATATTCCCTTAAAAATTGTGCTTTAGACATTTTTAAGTTATATGTAGAAATGATAGGAATGAATTTGTAGTGAAAATTTTATCTTCACAAAAAAAATTTAAATTAGTCGAAAAATATTGTAAAAAGGAAAAAATAAAAGAATGTACGGTGGATGAAAAGGAATAAGGTTTATAATATTTAATTGCGCAACAAAAAGATATATATTTCTAAGGTAAAAAAAAAAAAAAAATTTGGGGTAAAGAAATAATTTTGAACAGGGGATTTAAACATTTATAACATTTTCATTTACAGTAGCATTCAATTTTTTTTTTATATACTTTTTTTTTTATACATTAAAAAAAATTTAGGATTTTATATTTTATGTAACACCAGTTTGGATTATTTCTATTCTAGGAAATAAATAGCATATTTCCCGATAATTACGATAATTAGATAATAACGCGGTAAAAAAAAACAATACGGTTTTGTAACAACTCTTAAGAAATTTTCATTCTTTGTTTAAGATAAGAGAACGATGAAATTTATTAATGATTGGTACGGTAAAATTATTCATTTTACTTATTTGGGCAAACACGACTAAAACGTAACACAAACATTATTATAGAAGTTACACAATAAAACCACAAGTAAAAGCGTGTGTTACAACACAAATTCATAAAAATGAGGTTTATTTAATCTTTCGAATTGTTCATTATCATTTATCATCATTCATCATCCGCGTGACGGCTGCACCATTATACCATTTATCGTTTCCTTTTTAACATGCCTTCTGATATTGAAAGCTCTGATCTATCTATAGAGAAAAAATCGGGGTGGAAAAGTCGGTAAAAAAAAAGAAATTAACTTTTGTGAAAAAATGTTATAATAATATTTTTTTTAAAAAAAAAAAAAAAAATTTTTTTTTTAAGTGATTTCTGAAGATAATGAAATCAATGATGAACTTAACTCTAAAGAAGGGTTTGTTACCTTCCATATAATGGATTTATATAATGGATATTTCAAAATGTATTTTTTCAATAAAATCTCTAATTATAAAGGTTGAATATTGATTCAGAAAGATCCAAGAACAATACGTTATCGGGGCTAACGGTTATCCGAGAGAAATTTTACCGGAAATTGATCCGATTTATGATAGTGATACATCAATTGAAGACGTATGCGAAATTTGAAGATTTTAAAACTGTTTAACTGAATAATATTTAGAAATTATTTTTAACAATATAATTTTGAACTTTAAAATTTATAATGTTTGATAATTAGCCAATTAATACAGTGGGTAACATTCCTATGGAATGGTATAATGATTACCCACACATTGGATATAATATTAATGGGAAAAGGATATTGAAACCTGCAAAAGGAGATGAATTGGATAAATTTTTGGATAGTATGGAAGATCCTGATTCCTGGTAAGTTATAAATAATTTAATAAAATTAATAAAATGATAAAATATTATTTATTATTTTTTTAATTAAATAATTAATTATGTTTTATAGGATGTCCGTAAAAGATAATTCTCTACAACAAAATGTTAGATTAACAGATGAAGAATTGGAAATTATACGTAGGATCCAATTAGGTGAATTTCCTGATCCCAATTATGATCCATATGAACCAACAGTTGAGTGGTTTACCAGTAAACCAGAAGTAATGCCACTTTCAGCTGCACCTGAACCAAAAAGACGATTTGTTCCTTCAAAATGGGAAGCGAAACGCGTAAGTTTAACATCTAATTCATATTTAATTAAACATTTTTTTAGTTTGACATTTAATTAAGCATCTAGGGATAATTGTTAATATTTTGAATAGATCATGAAATTAGTTCATGCCATTCGACAAGGACATATTGTTCCCGGAAAATCACAAGTACAAAAACCTCAATTTTACAATCTTTGGTCTGATAATGATCAACCTCATAAAGATCATGTTATGAACCTACAAGCTCCAAAGATGAAATTACCTGAACACGATGAAAGTTATAATCCCCCAGAAGAATATTTACCGAATGAACAAGAGAAGATAGAATGGGAAAATATGGATCCTGATGATAGGGAAAAAAATTATTTACCCAAAAAGTATAAATTATAATTAATTTTTATTATATTAATTATATTTATTATATATATATTATATATTTAATATATATATATATATATATATATATATAATATAATAATTATAATAATAATAATAATAATAATAATAATTAATTTATTTATTATAGATACCCATCTCTCAGAACTGTACCCGCGTATGATCGTTTCATTCAAGAAAGATTTAATAGGTGCCTTGATTTATACATGGCTCCACGTATACGAAGAAATAAGGTTCAAATAAATTTAATTATAAATTAAATATCTTAATTATTCAATCCATCCATAATAATAATTTTTTTTTTTATAATATTTAAATATAAATATATAAATAAATAAATATATATAATATTAGCTTAACATTGATCCAGAATCACTTATTCCAAAATTACCCAATCCTAAAGATCTTCAACCATTCCCTACTTCACTCACACTTTCATATGATGGTCATTCCGGTCGTGTACGTAAACTATCTATTGATCCTATGGGATTATGGATGGTATCAGGTTCTGACGATAAAACTGTAAGGATGTGGGAAATTACAACCGGTCGTTGTGTTAAGATATGGGAATTTGAAGAAATAATACATTCAGTAGCTTGGTGTCCAGACAAAGATATATGTGCATTTGCGGTCTCTTGGTGAGATTTTTCATAATTCTTTTTTAATAATAAGAATATAAAATTTAACATACGTAAATTTATTATTAAAAAATATAAAAAAATATAAAAATCTTTATTAGTTTAAACAAAGTGTTTGTTATATCTCCAATGGACTTTTCAGATGCACAAACTATAGATTCTACTGTTCAATTTGTCACGTTAGGATTCACCAACACTGAACAAAACGGTATTTCAAAAAAAAAAAAAAACGAATGAATTTTAGAATATTATTTATTTTTTTTTATTTATGGTGATAACTGATTTTTATTCAAATGACTTTTGTGAAATGTAAATGTTTTTTAGAAAAAAAATTGAAATTAGTGGAATGGCGGAAACCAACAGAAGATCAAAAATCACAAGGATTTCTTGTTGTTTTAGTACACTTGCATAAAAAGGTAAATAATTTAATAATTCCCACATTAACTTAATGACATTAAAGATTATATAACTAATACTCTAGTACTTTCGGTATTTTCTTTACGTTAGACCGTTAAAAATATTAACTGGCATCGCAGAGGGGATTATTTTTCTACTATATCTTCGGATGGTAATTGAATATTTTTTATGTTATTTCACTTTATTCTACAAATTAAAAAAAAAAAATAAATAAAAAATGAATTAAAATTATTTTTCTATTTTTATTATTTTTATTATAAAGCCGGTAATCAATCAATATTGATTCATCAACTTTCAAAACATCAAACTCAACAACCTTTCCGTAAGACTCATGGATTGGTTCAAAACGTTATGTTCCATCCTATAAAGCCATTATTTTTTGTTGCAGTATGTAGAAGACGAATTTTATTATATTTTCCATTTAATTTTTATCCAATGTTCATTTGGATGTTCCATTGATGTTAATTTGTTGTTCTGTTCTGTCCGATTTTGCAGACTCAAAGATTTGTACGTGTATATAACTTGATGAGACAAGAATTAATTAAAACGTTACAATCCGGTGTTAAATGGATTTCAAGTTTAGACGTTCATCCAATGGGTATCTTTTTTTAAATTGTTGATTGCCTTTGTAATATTTTGTGATTAATCAAATTAATTAAATTAATTAAAAAAAATTCTAGGTGACAATATAATCATTGGAAGTTACGATAAACGATTATGTTGGTTTGATTTGGACCTTTCCTCAAAACCATATAAAACTTTACGGTTCGATAATTTTTCCTTTTTTTTTTACATTTGTTATGAATAATTCACCCATTAAATTGATATTAATTAATACTTTAATAATAATAATAATAGTTATCATACAAAGGCAATTCGAAATGTTGTATTTCACAAACACCTACCAATCTTTGCTTCTTGTAGCGATGAAGGGTTTATACACGTCTTTCATGGTATGGTTTATAATGATTTATTACAGAATCCTTTAATTGTACCAGTAAAAGTATTGAAAGGAGGACATAAAATAGTAGAAGATTTAGGTAAGTCTTTTGTTTTATTAATGTTTTCAAAATTAATGTAATATTTCTGAATAATCAATTTATTTGAATTTTAATTTTAAATATATATTCAGGTATTTTACATTGCGAATTTCATCCTACACAACCATGGATAATATCTTCGGGTGCAGATCATACCCTAAAACTGTGGACATGATTGAATTTACTTTTTACGAAAAATCAAATAAAAAAAATATTTATAGAAATTTTAGCTTCTAAAAATAAAAATAAAAAATAAAATTTCGTTATTTTTGTTATTAATTGCAATGACTATTAAAAATTTCCCATGCAATAATATTTTATTTATATACAATTTAATCTTTTAATATAAAATCACGAAAATTATTTGTAAAGAGAAAAAAAAATCGTATTCGACAACTTAAGAAATTTTAAAAATAATGCATTTTTTTAAAAAAAAAATTGCATATGACAGTTTAAGAAATGCTTAATTAAACCAATGCTTTTTTTTAAAAAAAAAAATTAATAGCGTAATTATGTGTATTATGTCTAATTTTAAAGATTTGGGTTTTTTTTTTGTTAATACGAAAGAAAATCATTGTTAAAATATATAAAATATACAATGCATAGAGATCATGACGCTTTTCCTCGTTGACTATTCCACAAACTTGACGGACGATGCGATTTATATTTGGCATAATAAAGTCCGCATGCTAAATTTAATGAGAAAGAAAATGTTTAATTATATTATAAGAAACAATTAAATTAAAAACATTAATTATGATTATGTGACATGAATATTTACCATTGCATAACTTTTGATCCGGAGTCTCTCCTGCTCTCCATCCTGGAGTATTGGAAGTTCCGCAATTACCACAAACCCATCCTAAAATTAAAAATGTAATTAATTAAGTGGATTACGAATGAAACTATATTAATCATCATCTTTATAAAGTAAAGAGATATATATATATATCTATCTAATTTACCCTCGGAATTATTATTAGCATTATTATATCCACATGGCTTTTTCTCGTTGCTTGTCTTTTGTTTTCTTGCAGGTGGCATACCATTTCGATCATATTCATTGACAAAATATTGTTCTTCCTTCTTTTGTAAGAACCTTTATGCGAATGATATTTCAAAAAAAAAAAAAAAAGTTAATAAAAAATATTTTCTAATATAAAACTTAACCCTTATTTTGATTTTGACTTAGTTTAACATACTTTAAGAAATCTTCCAGATGTTCTTCGAGAGTTTCGGTGGCGGTTTTATCTAGATGGGAATGAGCAAGTAATCGAGGAAGTTCGACTAATTTCGTAAAATTAATAATTTTATTAAAATTCGATGTTTAATAATTATCAATATATTTTATATTATATTTTTGCCATCATACCAAAAAGTCTCAACAAATGTTCTGCACCATAAATTTCTGCATTCTCCTTTTCTATGTATTGTTTGCGAATATCAACGTATTGTTGTCGTTCAGTGCTGTATAAGAGAATATTACCAAGTGTCTTTTCAAAATAAATTTGGAGACCATTTGCAACTTCTGTATAAATATCTCCTCTATTAGAGAAACAAAAAAAAAAAAGAAATAATGTCGGTATTTATTCAAAAAATATATCAATAAATAAAAAATTTAAAGATTTTACTTTTCGATCTTTGATGATGACGATGATGATGATGATGATGAAATATTTGTATTTGGTAACAAAATTTTTCGTTTATATTCCACATAGTGATTTAAAATATCTATAACATTTGGTGTTCGAGGAAGTTTCAGCAACTATGATATAAAAAAAAATACAAGTTAATAAATCTTATAACTTGATTATTTTGATTATTTTGATTATTTTGATTATTTTGATTATTTATACCGAATGACTCTTTGTAACATTCTCCCAATCATCAATCAATCTACACTTGAGTGATTCAGGTATTGAAATCTTAATCTCAAGTCGATTCATATATTCATCCTCCTTAAAAAAAAAACGAAATACGATTAAGCAAATGTCAATGTATATTATAATATATTTAAAAATATATAAAATAAATATTCTAACCTCCTCTTCTTCTTCCTCCATTCGAGATCGTTTCTTTGAGCGTTGCTGACTTTGACCGTCATTTACGTTATCGTTATTATTTTCATCTATTCCTTTCAATTCTTCTTTGTCATCTTTCATTTCTTCGTCATGTTTGATTGAATCTTCAAATTGGTGTTCCTCATTTTGTTCAGCGGAAGCACCTCCTTCTTGTATTTCATCATTAGAACTCTGTTGTCGATCTTGTGTGTCATTTTGATGATCTTGCGCGGAAATTGTTCGCTTTGATTGTACATTTTTTTTCATCTCTTGTGTAGTACCAATTTTCTGCCGTTTATTTGTGGAAGAGATCTCGTCTATTTCCGTAATCGATCGTTCTTTATTTAAAGCCGGCTTTTTTTTCTTATTGGAGAAGGTTTCTTTTAGCTGCTTTTGTCGTGCTAAATTTGCTTCATTATGTTTAACAACCCTTTCCTCTGGGACCCATTCATCCCAGCTATATATTATTAATGTTTATTTAGTATAAGATCATAGAATATATATATTTATTTATTTATTTATTTATTTATTTATTCATAAAAATTTATTAAATTTGAATAATTCGCATACGTTTTTTTCCAGCCTTTATAATGCACAAAATAGTGTGGTCCCTTATCTCCAGATCCAGAATCATTAGAACCCCAATTCTCGGCTTTAAGTATCTGAATTTTTGGAAAAATTATAAAGTTTTCACGTGTACTTCTTTCTAAATCCTTAGATAATAAATTTCAAACCATACCTTGGCTTCGTAAAGTAATGGTCCATGAAAACACAAGACCACTTCGTTCTCTGAAAAGTTAAGTTTTGTGTCTTTGTTTCCAGTTTGAGTCATATTTTGAAAATTTAAAAGTAAAAAATGACCGTACAAATAAAGTAATTCTTGATCAAAGAAGAATTCTAATGTTGATCTATGATGAAAAGTCGAGAGTTTTATAACAAACTTCAAATTTTAGTTTCGTGTAACATTGTATTACCCAAATTCAGCAAGAAAAATATCCTTTTCAAACTGGAAGTCGCTTTGATGAGTTAAACTTTTGAATTTTATCATTGGCCCTTGTCCATTTCACGACTAAAACCTTTTACTAGCTTTAAATACCCGGCTTGTGATTTTTTTATTATAGGTATTTAATGCGGATACAGTTAAGGTGTGTCATCGCATTTACAATAAAATTAAAGAAATATCAAGACATTTTAAAATTTTTACATAAAATATTTCATCATAGAAAATCAATAATATAGTGCCAATACTAAATATCTGCCCAGTAAAATAGTGAAATTAAAGGTTCATTTGGTGATGCTATAGATATTAATGGCAAAGAATATACAAACAATATATTCTCAAATTTCTATACTCACAAATAATACTTACTAGATACCAAAAAATCTAGTCAAAATATCAAGATAGTATTTCTGATATATTGGTAAAAAAATAATAATACCTGTTGTAATTCAAAAAAAGGTAATGGAAAAGGTGGCAATTCAATTAATTCAATTGTGATGATATTTTTAGAAAGTTGAAATAATAATTCAGGCTAAAGAGTTTAAAAGGTTTAGGATCAAATGGACAAAATTACAAGGTGAAATATAAAAGATTTTACTAAGACTATTTGATTTGTATAAAAAAATCAAAATTAATTAATAAATTGATTTATTTTTTTCTGATCAGTTTCTTAATTAATGATATCTAGTATTCTAAGTTGATTTAAAAAAATCAACTTTGCTAAGCTTATATTTTAAAATTGACTTAGTTAGCTAAAGCTAAAATTACATAAGTACATTGGTTAAAAAATTAGCTAATTAAGTTAAATAAATTGATTAAGTCAACTAATGAAAGGAGTTCAATATTAATAAATCAATATATCAATAAATAACTTTCTTGAGGTGGTCACTCTATATAGACAAGCATGTAATACATTTTTAGAGCAAATAGATAACACTGTAAAATTATTTAATGATTTAGATGGTAATTTCAAATTTGGTGAAGAAAGGACCAAGGTTATGCAAACAACTTGTGAGAAATTATTGGAAGAAAAGGTAATTATTTCATTTATTATTTTATTTATTATTTATTTATTATTTCATTTATTATTTTTCATTTATTATTTCATTTATTATTTATTTATTACTTAAATAAATCTTTTTTTTAATATCCTTTTATAGAACAATTTGACATCTTTGGCAAATGCGATGGCTTTTAAATCTATTATAATGAACTAGAATCCACTTCAAAATTATTTAACTCACAAATAGATAATATATGTGAACAACCAAATTTTATTTCCATTTCAGCAAAATTGGATGAATGTATAAAAGTAATGTAAGTTAAATATAGGTTTTTTTTTATAGAAAATTTATTTTTAGCTTATATATAGAGATTCAGAACTTTATCTTATGAAATTTAAAAATTACATGACTCAAGGAATGAATTTAATAAAAGTGCACTTTATTGGTACAATTAAAGGCCTTTGTGTAAAAATTAGTAAAAAAGATTAATCAGGTATGAGTTTTTTATAATTGAAATTTTTGCATAATTTCTTGAATTTTTATAATTGAAATTTTTCATATAATAGACACTGAATACTACAACAGAAACAGCCTTATTTTACATAAATTTGGCTCCAAAATTAATAGGATTGATGCGAGAAATTGAAAAGCGATGTCCTTTATGCCCAGAGTATGTACTTGATAATTGGTGTATATCTCTGGTTCTCACTATTCTTTGACAGAAACCAATTTTTTTAATTTAATTCTCTTTTAATTAATTATAATATTATAATTTAATTATTATATATATAATTCATTATTACATGTTGCTACTATGCATATTTTCTGTACAACAATATATTCAAAAATTATGGAATTTGGGATCCGGTGAACGAGATATTTTATCATTTGTAAGTTTTATTTAAATATAGTCTTTATGAAACTTGTGTACATTGTTTTTGAATTAAAAAGTTATTTAAATTATTAAAATTTTAGGAAAAGAATGGATATGATTATAATGATTATATGTTAATCTTTGCTTAGATGAATATTCTTTATTTTATGATTCTGGTGATGATGATTTATCGTATGTTGAATTATCAATACTATTCTAAAGATACAATTGATTAATTATTTTTGATATTTATTTAATGTATTTATATTATTATTTTTTTTTGTAATGTAGCGGAAATTTAGATTTGTTATTCAGTTATATGTACGATTATGTATAATCCGCAAAGCGAAAATTGAGACCTTGTTTAATACTTATAAATCATATCAATTGCGATTTGAATAATATAAATGGTTTGCGTAATTCTAATATATTTTAAATTTATATTATATTAAAGAAATTAAATTAAATAAATTTATTTAAATATTATTTTTATACTAACGAAAAAGAAGGTCAAATTCAAGGTCTACAATTAAGTCACTTAATACGTAATGTTCTACAAAGACTTGTTTTCCGTGTGCAAACTTATATTCGCAGCAAAATACACAACCAATCGATTTGGATTACCCAGATAAATTGAAAAATAATTGAAAAGTTAGTTTATGTAAATTTATAAATTTGTTTAATATTTTTATTTAATATATAATTAATATATCAAATAATTTGTAGAAGAAATTGAACTAACTGTTGATATAAAAACTAAAGTACCAAGTTCACCTTCATCATCTATGATATTGGAAGTTTATCAAGATAACGATGATGTTGAATCTGAGATTTCTAATTCTCCAACATTACTAACGAATGTTAAAGAAATTGATGAAAACAATTCAGGTCGGTTTCCAACACTACATTATACCTCAAAGCTTTATCAGTATTTAATGTGTGTTTAGTTTTTATTAAAAAATTTTTATATCTTTGAATTTATATTCCTCAGTTTAAAATTAATGCTCTTCCCTATTTTTTTTTAGTGCATAACAACCTTCAAATTTTGATGATATTGTTCAGGACATTCATTATTATCCGTAAGTATATTATAACTAAAAAGGTGTTTACATAAATTATTATTATTTTGCTATCCTTGTGTAATATGAATTTATTTATTTATCTAAAAAAAAAAAATTATTATTTACGAAGTAAATAAAGAATTTAAGCGCATATATGAAGATTTCATTTTTGATAGTTCAAAAGCAGCAATTAAACCTGTGTCCTCTTTTTTTAGTGAAAGTCATGATATTAATCAATGCAACTTATATATATAAATATTTATCCGTTTCTTCTATTATTTAGGTATCAGCTTTTAGATTAAGAAATAATCTCAAGGCAATTCATAATCAAAATTTGTTAAAGAATCAAAAATTTGCATAGCCTGATAACTTATTTTTAAATTAATTCCTAAAATGTCAGAATACTTGGATGATCGTAAAACTGAAAACGTATTGTTAAAGTCAATGCAGGTAATTAATTTCTTTTACTTTTTCTTATTATTATTTATTATTTGCATTATTTACATTATTTAATTAATAGAAACATATTATAGACACGTATCAAGCATTATATGAAATAATGCAAAATGAAAATTTTGAATTTAGACAAATTTCCTAAAGCTTTAGGTGATATAGATATAGATAAAGTGAAAGAGCAGGTACGTGCTGAATGGTTTTGGAGGAAAAGGGTAAGAACAAAATATAATTAATAAGAATAATATTTATGATTTAAAAATTTTGATACCATTTTTAGGGTTGAGTTATATTTAAAGAACAGAATTTTGTGTAATAATTTGTTATTATATCTTTTTTTATTACAAATAATAATATTAAAGAATTTATGATACAATTTTCTTATTAAAAAAAAAAACACAATAAAATATATCTATTTATGAAATCAAAATACCCAAATTTGTGTACCCTATTACTTTTTTTTACCCTTTTTTACTCTCCTCCAAATCTTCTTCCAATGCTTTTACTTTTTTTTCTAAAAATTCTTTTTCTTGCTTTAAAATTTCGGGTTCTTGTTTTAAATTTTCGTTTTCAATTTTTAATCTTTCCATTTTATATTTAAGATCATCAATCTCAAGTGATGACACAAATTTGTTTTCACTTTTCTGTCCCTGGAAGGAAGAAACCAATATTTTATTGGTTTCTGATAAATTTAAATTATGTTTTTCGAGATTTTTATAATTATCTTTTAATTCTTCAATTTGACGTAATATGTCTTCATCCGAATTTTTTCTTTGTTTCTCTAATTCCAGTTCTTTGTCTTTATTTGACTTTATCAATTTTTCTATTTCACGTTCATAATTAGTGATTTTTTTGTTACTCAATTCCAATTTATTTCTAAGTTTAATCACTTCTTCTGTACTATTTGCCAATGAATTTTTATTACTTTCCAATAATTGGATTTGTCGTTTCAAAGATTCAATTTCTTGATCTTTTGTAAGATCGTTTTTAATACTTTCAAGATTCAATTGTAATTCAGCATTTTGACTTTTTAAATCTTTTATTTGTTGATTTAACTCTTCGATTTCGCCATTGTTGCTATTGGAAATTGATAGTCCAATTTGTGAAATCATTTGATTATTCTCATATTCTAAGGACTGAATATGACTTTTTAATTCCGCATTCTCGTCCTCGAAATTTTTTCGTTCACTGAGTAAAAAAGCGACTCGTTTTTTTTGGGCTTTAAGTTGTTGTTCTAGTTTACTGTTAATACTATGAATATTATCAATTGTTTCGTATGTATTACTTTTTGGTTTATTTGAAGTACTACATGAAGGAAATGAATTTGTAGGGGAAGATAAATGAATCGATGAATTATAAATTGGAGGACTGTTATTAGATATTCTGGTAGGTGTGTTATGAATATTATCATTTAATGTAGAAAAGGTTGGAAATGAGTTCGGTGTAGGAATATAAGTTGTACCAAACGTTCCATTAGTTCCATTAGTGAACCTTTGTTGAGGTGGTGGTTGTTGTTGTTGTTGTTGTTGTTGATGTTGATAAGTATTATTAAGATTTCTTCGGTTATCATCATTTCTGTAGCGTCCTAAATTTTCCGAAATTGTAATTTCACTTTCCCACTGAAAAAATGAACATTGTCTATGTCTATCGTTACAACATGCATAATAAGCTCTTCCAGGATTTTTAGCGTTCATCCCGGCAACTTTTTTATTAACTAATTTATTACAATAACAATAGATTTGGAGGTCATCGTTTGTGGTAAAATTAGGTGGAGAAGAATATGTGGATTGCATATTGAATAAAATACTTAAAAAAATGCTATACGTTATCGGTTATTGAATTTAAGGATTTAAAAATATTTAAATATTTAAAAAATTGGTTTATAGTTTTAGTAAATACTTATACTGCGCATAATAATAAAATATCAAAAATACAATAATAACATAGTGTTTTGTGTCTTTTGAGGTAAATGTGAAATGGAAATGTTATGGTGAGAAAAGGGTAACTTATACTATTTTCGAAATGGTCCGATCAGGTGTTTGTGTTACAAAAAAAATTACTGCGGATACTGCGGATACTGTGGATACTGGACGATCGTTCTAGATTTTGATCATCGGGGTTACACAAATATTTATATTAGTTTTACAATAGGGTTCAATTGAAAAATCGTCGCACATATGACTAGTCGCAAAAACAACTAATTAATAAATGATAAAATTTTATAATTATATTCTTCGAAGCTATTTCTTCATTTCTTTTATTTAGATAAGTTTACTTAGAAGGGTATTTTTATGATAGTATATTAAAAAAGACTACTCTAATACAAGTAATATTTATTTATTTATTATTATTATGTTATTATTATTATATTATTATTATTATATTATTATTATTAAATTTTTTAATTAATTTCGAACCTTTCAAATAATTATAAAATCCATATACAGTGTTAATGCAGTTAAGTGCTTCTAAAAGCTTATTATGTACTTCTTGACTTCTATTTATTTCTATCTCTTCTATTACCTAATTCTCTTCAACTAAAACCTCTTCACTTTCATTTTCTTCAGGAGTAAAGATATTAAGACCTTTTTCTAACCTTTCTAAAAATGATTTTACATTGCTATAAATTCCGCGCTTGTAATATTCTTCACAGTAATGACATCCATACTCAAGAATCTGATAATATTCATAATGATAACCATGACCATATATTAATACTTCATATTATTAAGTTTTTTATTACAGTGATCACAAGTATCTTGTGATAGGAGTTTGCTAGTGCTATATCTTGTTAGAAGATATCTTTCTCCTAAGGTAGCTAATTTATACTCTACTTTTTTTCTTTTTTTATGTAATGTTCCTTTTCCTTGATTTTTATATACAATATTTCTTAAAAATAGTTTAATAAAAATAGTGATGTTTTTTCTGATAATAGTTTTAATGATGATAGTTTATAAGGATATTTTTTTAATCTTTGAAATGTATCTTTTAGTTCATTATAATTTCATTCGTCTATTAAATTATTAAATTTATAAATATTTTTATATAAATAAAAATAAATAAAATAATTGGCATATCAATTAAATAAGCTTTACTGACTGAAATAGAGAATATTGGACACCTATCGTATGCTCATCAGGAATCCAATAGGTATACAATAGGTGTCCAATATTAATAATTATGTAATATATCAGATACCCGATTGATAAGGTTGAAATGTAGAAGTTCGGGTACTTATTGAACCCATATCAGTTTCATATTGGACATTAATATTTTGACATTTTATTCAAATTCATCATTCATATATCGAACACCCAATTTTATTTATTTTTTTTTATTAAGTACATATCTTTTATAAATTGGCTATAGTATATCCCTATATATCAGGCACAGTATATCTCTATATATTGAATAGTTTTTTTCCCTCTATCAGATATCTTTTTTTTTAAAAAAAATTTCAACAAGACCTTACCTCAAATTTATTAACTAAAAAAAGAGAAAATCTTTTACATTATTATCACATAATATAAAATACACAACTTATTCTAATAATTATCAAAAGATGAGATTCAGATCAATTTGAATTGTTTATCCTAGAATAGACATGAAACATATCTATAACTTACTACCTGATAACAACAGCTATCATCAGCTTGTTAAGGTCCTGCTGAACAGCCTTCCCTCTATCAGGTATCTATCAGTATCTTTTATTTATATATATATATATTAATTAGTGAAAATGTCAGGTTTAATCTGTGTGACTTTTTTTAATTATTGTTGTGTAACTTCTTGCAGATCTCAATTTCATATAAAAAAAATTCGAAATATAATGACTTTACTCTTGCTAATACTATTTTTATCTGAATTTATTGATTCTTTATAAAAATGTCCTTAAATAAAACAATATATAATTTTTAATATATTAATTATATATAGTCTGAAGGAAGGTTTACTTTGACAGTTTAGTATAATCAGAAGGTTCAATAACTATACCATTTCAATAAATCTGTATTAATTATACTTGCACGCAAAATTATTTTGGGATCCCGAAATTGTAATTTTAGAGAAAAAAGTCAAAATAGTTTTTCATAGAAGACGAAATTATTTTACTTAAAACCCGAAATTTTTTGACCACCCAGATTTATTCTTTGATTAAAGATACATATAACTAGGTACTTTTTTTACTTCCATATATAGAATAGATTTTGCATAAATCTCAAAAAGTCGAAATATCTCAAAAATTCAAAATCAATTTTGGGAACATGTATAGTATTAATAACACTAATGTTGAAATGGAATAATAGTCAAAATTATAAAAATTTTATTTCTTTTAATTTCAATAACTTGTTTCAACAAAAAATAAATAATTCGTTTTCATGTAATATATATATTTTCTTCTTTATTTGTTAATAAACAATTTTTATAAAGAGTAAAAATTTAAAAAATCTTAATTAATTTTTAAATATTTTAACTATTGCATGTTAAATAATGATAATGAAATTTTAAAACCTAATCCTGAAGACTTTGAATATGATGAAATCAAAAAAAATTATTAAAAATAAAAAACACTAGCGGTAGGTTGCAGACGTGTTTCGTGTTAATCTTGGGATTGACAATTCGAATTAGTCTGAGTCTCATCTTTTCGTTAGTTACTAGAATAAGTTGTGTATCTTATATTATGTAATATTAATGTAGGAGACTTTCTCTTTTTTTAGTTAATAAATTTGAAGCAAAGCCTCACTGAAACTTTTAAAAATAAAAAACTATTTCAATATAACAAAAAATTATTTGACCATCTAATAAATAAAGATTACAATAAAGATTCAAATAATATCAGCTCATATTTTGATTCTAACGATGAACTTAATGAAAATGAAAATGAAAATATTAGTAAAGACAAATTAGAAATTAATGATAAAAAATTTGAGATAATACAAAAACCAATGGTTATTTCAAAAGAAACAGTGTTGACTGTGATCCGACCTTCAAGGGATACAATTAACTATTAGCTAGAGATACTGTAACTAAACTAAAATATAATAAACTACTAACTAATATATACTAAAAAGTATGATGATTGAAAGATTTAAATGTTGCGAATTTGTTTAAAAGAAATAAAGCTATGAGATTTTTATAAGGGTTTGACTAAACTATTCACAAAGAATATAACTAAACTAAACTAATAATTTCTAACACTAAGTAAAGAATTATAACACTAAAACAATATACCAAGATCACAAAGCAAGGTATAATTAATAAGGGTTTCAGTATTCTGCTTAGAAATAATACAGAATTTCACTAAGAAATTACAATGGTATAAATAATAATCCACAAGAGTATTATTTATAAGGCAAATCACAAAGTATTTTATTAATAAGAACTGAGAGTTAGCTATCGAACTGAGGACTGAGCAAAGAGAAATTTGACCCTTTATATACATAATTGAAATTATAATAGATTACACTGTAGACTACACTAATGTATACACTAATAATTATGTTAATGTATACACTATTAACTGCGTTATCTATTACACTATTGATTACGCTATTGAATACACTATTGATTACACTGTTCATTACATTGTTCATTACACTGTTGATTACACTTAGATCTACAGTCGTAATACCTAATAGTTGTACCAATTTCTAAATAATTTACGCTAATAATTTCTTATAATATATACTAATAAAAATATGAAATTAAACTAATAAGATATGGTTATAAGCTAATATATGCTAATAAAATAATAATATAATAAATGAATAAATTAAAAATATAATAATAGTAAGATTTGACAACTAGGGTCAACACTGCTAGTCCGCATCTACCTCTATAAACATTTCTTGTGTCCTCTTCTTTCTCTTTTTCTTCTTCCTCCTTATTTTCAATATCAGATTTCAGACCATCTGAAAAATATTATCAGGATATTAAAAGTATACATATTCTTTTTTGTCATTGACGTTTCCTTCTAATTTCTATAGAAAGTAAACTTGAAGAGGATAATATATTTGAACTAGTCACAAAGGATATAGTTTTAATATTATTTTTGTAAAGTAAAAATTTTAGTTAATTATTAGAAAAATAATGAAAGTGAAATTATGGAATGATCAAAAATATACTATATATTTATATTTGTTTAATAATAGAAGATGTGTTATTTAACAAAATCTGAATTACATGTAGTAATATAAAAGATAATCAAAAATAATTCTAATAAGCAAATTTATCTGCTATATAAATTAAGGAATAATGTTATCTGTATTACTATTTAAAGATATATGTGCTTATATTTTACTATATATATTTTCAACATAGTAATCATTAAAATTTACTAAAAATAATTTGATTACTTTTACAAAAGAATGTTTAATATCTTTTCAATAAAATATATCTGATAGAAAAGCTAATGGAGTTTTATTGTAATTATACTTTTTTCAATATAATACAAAAGTTCAAATTTAAAAAATGGACTTAATATATTCATTAAAAGATCCAAAATGAAAAAGTATAACATATATATCTATTGTGCAAGGTATAATATTATCAAGTAAATCTAATAACATATAATATTCAATATCTTTACAAATACTTTCAAATTTAAAATAATTATATCTCTAATTTTACAATATTCATTATAAGCCAAATTCAAAAGTAAATTAATTCTTCATGGTTTTAATTTTCTTACAAATATTTTTCTTGAATCAAATATGAAATAAAAAAGTTTTTCAAAAAAAAATGATAAATTAATATAATATATTCTCTGTTATTAAGTCAAATATGTAATAGTTCC